CAGGGCATGAAAGTAAAATAGCACTTTTCTACCATAATTATTTTTTTGTACTGTTACACCTTTTATCCCGAAAAAAGGAAGGCAGAGAGTAATACCAGTGCACAATGTTCACCCACTTCACCAGTTTTGTTGTTATGTCCCATTCCAAACTACCGCTGAAAAGTTTTCGAAAAACCGAATAATACTACCCAGTAATACTCTTGTCCGACCCGAAAATCGAATCTCCAGCGAAAATCTGTTTTCTACCTCCACCTAGTTATAGTCCTCCAATTACTACCTACCTATAATAGCCAATTTTTGGGATCGAAGTATGGTCATGCATCGTTCGACCAAAACAAAGTTGAAATGCGTGTTGTGGTCTTGTGGTGTTAAGTCTCTATTTACCTACTGTTGTTATATCCTACCTACAATGACCTACATACACAGCTACCTACTAGTATTTTTCACAATTGGCTTTGTCCATACTCCAGCAATTGTATAAAGGAAAGGATTAAGGAAAACGTATGTACTGAATTTTATTTTGATATTAATAATACCTAGTTTGGACGTAAGCCAAAATAACTTTGCTCCCGACTACCGAGGGGTATAATATGGGAAGAGGGTGCCACTCCCGCCCCGTCGTACTGGCGCCAGTCTGTAATGCAAGCTCAGATTTACGTGTTATCTAACAAGTTACGGACCTACTCATGTTGTGTTGCATTACTGTGGACACGATGATCATAAATAATAGTACCTATATATATAGAGGTATATATATATTAAGCATTTATACCTCTATAGTATAATAGTGCATATGAGTGAATATTTTGGTACTCGTACATTCAAACACATCGTCACGCCTGTCTCCCTTTGGGGTAGGCAAGAGACAAATGACACGATTGTAGCATAATCTTACCTCTTCCACTTCTACAATACTTACATTAATCAATCTCTTCGTGCATGCTCCTATGTGACTTGCGTAATAGGATAGATGCCTAATTTTTATTTTAATGTCCGTCTGTTAGTGTATTTTAAATCATTAGACGCTTATTTTTTAATTTTTTACAGAAACGAATACTTTCGACGATATATTTTTTAAGGGGAAAATCATCGAATGACTACTGACACTTCCTCGGTCCTCCCGCCTAGACTAGGCGGGAGGACCGAGGAAATGTCAGACTCTTACTGACTAAAAACCACCCCGTTCCTTCTCCTGCACGTCGAGACGGAGCCCCGGTAACCCGTTAGGTTCTCCACGACTTCAACGATATATTGATTTGAAATGTCGCGTGACGTCACTTCTATGTATATTTTACACGTAGAAATGACGTTTTAGCCTCCACTCCTAAACTTTGATTCGTTTTATCTAAGTATTGTTTTATTTTATTATACGACAAAAAAAAAATACGAGTCTAATATTTTTTCATTACCTAACTGACGGACTAATTAGATTTTTAATTTTCATACCCTGTCATCATTCCAATTCTACTTATTCACTTAGTATATGTATTGCTTTGGTAAGTGGATCAAAAATCTCTCGGACAGAATTTCATGCCCTTCAGTCAGCATATTTAAAGGGATGGTACTGAGAGTATCAGAGCGCCTACATCATATCGTTTAATTCCATGTATATACCGTTGTGTTTGTTTGTGGAGGTAGAATGAATTCTCATACATTTTTGAGTGTCTGTTTGTTTGCTTAGAATAAAAGTTGATATTTCGAGCACAATATCAGCGGCGCCGTGGCTTAGTTGGTTAAAGCGCCTGTCTAGTAAACAGGAGATCGCGAGTTCGAATCTCGCCGGGGCCTGCAATCACTCTGGGTAGAACTTTTTGTTGTGTATGTTTATTTTAGACAAGAAAAAATACGCTTAACTATGATTGGTATAAGAACGATCAAAAGAAATGTTAAAATTATAACAATGCGTATAAATATTGTAACAATTCGTATATACTTGTAATGCTTATCTTAAAATTGGGTAAGTAGAATAAACTGGCGCCGCCATGATGAGTGGTGTTCGGAAAGCTCTTGATTGACTCATTGGGCTTGAATTAATAATTGATAACACCATTTATGACGACCTTCAACGTTACTCAGGTATTTCCCAATTATCTATTGACTAAAGAATCGAAGATTATAAACTCGAAAGTACCTATAAATAGGTATTATAAATTTATTTTTATATTTGCTAGATAGTGCGTCGCCGTCGCACGATTGATAAGCAAGAATTGAATGCTAAGTAGCAAATTAAAACTTCTGGAAAGTAGACAGTGGGTAGTTAGGTACCTATCCCACAGCTAATACTAACTTAATAGAATTAACACAAAATGTTATTAAATTTTGCTTTTGAGGACATCATTCTGTGTCTGAGGAATAGAGTATCATAATACCACAATATCAGGTCGTTAGCATTATCTTCTATCATTGGTCGAGTTTATTCTCACAACCATTGACATGGCGGACCGCGATCGAGCTCACTTCGATGTTTCGAATTGATAGTTATAGAATAGCCTGTTTCGTTGCCTTTATTGTGATCTAGGCTAGGCTAGAAGATGAGTTAGTTTCCTGCAGTTACGCTCACCGTGCAATGATGGATAGATATATTTAGTCAGTAACAGTCTAACTGTCCGCTTTGTCGTCCTCAGGTGTAGATTATCCACCATGGAGGTAAAAAAGAAAGGCTGTTATCATAGTAAGCGAGTATCGACAAAAACGCAGGTAAAGTAAATGATCCAGTCCTTTTGTTACGCCTTCAAGTTTCGTCCAATCACATGTCTCGGTAATAACGAAGTGTTTACTCATGAAACTAGTTGAAGGACTGATTCATAATCCTCTATGAAATAGATAAGTACCATACATAACATAGTACTAATCGTACAACGTAAAAGGCACAGACTTAACGTCACGACTTTTAAATCTTTAAAGGGGAAGACAGAAGTGTACCTACATTTAAAATGTGTCTAAATATTTGACCATTCTTCTACCTATCTCAAATAAAATATTTGTACAGGGTACATTGTATAATGATGTATAAGTAAGTAGGTACATAACTACATGCACATCGAAAATTTAAATCGTAATTTAAAGGTAGACAAAAAAATGTACAAACAAAAAATAAAAAGAATTAGTTTATGAAAGTTGACGGCGGGTCAACAACCAGACAGGGATGCAATGCAAGTGCTTTGTTCCGACCCTGTGGGGCGCCTCGACTGGCCGTTTACCCCGAATAATATACCCGTCCACGTGGCTTAGAGTCTATTTCTATATTTCATTCATGAGTGCATTGCATACATACACAATATCTTTATCTATACCATTCATCAATAAGTAGGTACATCAATATCTAGGGTTATCTTAAGGACATGCATGTAAAAACAAGGCATTCGTCACTGCACTTTCTATTATTCTTACCTATGTAAGTAGGTACCAGCTTGTAATACAGCACATTGACTCCATAAAAAAGGTAAATGCACTCGCTTAAAGGAGACAGACGGTGTGCGCAGCTAAGTACTTTACCTGAAATAACTTACCCTTAGAGCAAAAAAATGATTGAATTTTTCAAATAATTGTACGGTTGGATTGAAATAAAGATCCCGATTGTTATTCTCGCATTATTGTCATATTTTACATGCAACTTATTTATAAACTTACCGAAGGACACCGTTGGTGGTTTAAGTAATTATTAAGCAACTTAGTTCTACGATTTTCAGGTAATGCAGTAATAACGAAGTAGACTCAACTATTTTTAACATACATTCCATAACTATTCCGTGCTATAAAGTAAAGAATGTTGACCTAGGATTAAACTTGAGACCTCATGTTTGACAGTCACTCTTAGGTTCTAAAACAAGTTTTCAGTTGCCTAGCGGATATCTATATCTAGCCTACCTACTAATCGCGATGGTCTCGACATGATGGCGTGTTGTATCAGAATTATCTACGTAAAGAGTTTATAATATCTACTAACTCAGAGGAGATTTTAGGCCTTCAGATGACCAGTTTAGACGTTCAGTCCAGTAGACTGCATCTTCCATACAAATCTGTAAAGAACCCTAATAATGAACGATAATAATGCGATGACAATAAAAGCAAGTCTTGGAAATTGGATTAGGTACACAATCCAAGTCTACGCCTATGTAAGTATCAAAAATACTAAAAATGTGAAGCAAATTAATTTTGTTATTTATTGTGCGTAAATATTATTATGTAGGTTTGTTAGGAATAACTGTAGGTATCTACTGGTTTTTCCTTTAGGAAATAAATTCCTTAGAGGCACTGAAGTAAGTAGTTTCCTTAGTATATTCCTGAATTTAATTAGTACAATATTTATCCACGAAGGATATTGATGAAGTATTTTAATAAAATAGATACTAGACTTACGTTATTTAACGTCTCCAAGCGTTAGGTACAATTTAGTATGTAGATGCCTTCATTTTCGCAGTTAGGTACTGTAAATGCATAAAATCCTTTATGTTTGTAGTGACGCTCCAATTAGCGTTGCTAATATTAGTTACAATAGTTATAACTACCATGACTAAACAAGACAAGGAAATATATTTCAAGGCAGGATGGACTAGAAAAAATGAAGATATAGCTTAGCATTCTAAAAAAATCTGTAGAAAAGAAATATTTATAAATACTTTAATCACTGCAAAATGTTCAAAAATATGCAATACATTAATTGACGAAAATTGATGACAAGTTGTGTAGAAATTTATTTTTAGGTTCACAGTGATCACTGTCGTTTTCCCTGAGGAAAGAAAACGATTGTGAAATTCTACAAACAACATTCAACAGTTTGTTAATCATCAGAGATGGTACTTCAAAACACTTGAAATTAAATGGTTTAGGCTTAATTGAGCTTATTGTTGCTCCAGATATGGAGAAACAAATTACAAAGAACCACGATGATGCACAGCACAGCTAGTAAAACGAGTACTACGAGCAAGACAAAGCGAAACTGGCTTTGTATGTATGAGTGGAGTAGTGAATCACACAGGCCACCGGCCACTGTCGCCGCCTGCACACAGTGTACACTCCGACAACAGAACAAGCCAGTCAGGCCAGTCAGCATTCGGCGCGCAGTCCGTTAGCACATCTATATCGCGCTACACATTCGAGTTACTCGAATGTCAACAAACTTTCACCTCGTCTGTAAACAAACAAAATGTACGAGGAAGTTCAATAAAGTGTTTTATTATTTTAATTATTACTTTTTATTGTAACTTTTTACTCAATTCATTAAACTTAATAAACTTTAATTAGTCGCGGTTAAGTGTTTGTTGGTGTTTTTCTTGCCCAATGTGTAACAATTGAAAATATTGCAGAAATAACATTGAATTCTGGAGATTTGTTGGTGTCAAGTTTTATTGCATTGGAGCGAGCTGTGCGGAGGATTAAATTGACTGAATGTTCCAATTGTGCTGTGACTAAATTAACTAACTAGCTGCTGGTGATCGCTATGGGCAAGGATTATGGTAAGTTATGTTACAGAAGTGTTTTAGAAAGAAATCTATAAAAGAGAATAGTCAAAGTTCATAGACTACTTTTTTACTTCATAATTTCGTTATTTTATTGCTACAGTGCGCCTAGAATAAATTCAAGGCAAATGCTATAAAACTCGTGCGGGTGTAATGCATAACTTTCGTACGTAAATAAACTTGTTGCAACGTAAATTATTGAAATGAAAATGTAAAACATTCGATTAACTCGTCTGTCATTCGATGCTGTGACCAAAAATAATTATAAATAACTACCTCCAACAATTTTAGATTTCTATTTTTGTTGAGACAACTAGCGATGCGATCAAACAAAGCAAAAAATAATCTTGACGTTTGTTTTTGGTTGGATGCACTGAATAGAATTTTTAGTCGAGTACCTTTCGGTGTTGAATATCAAAATCCCTTCACAAAGAGAGTGAACGAGGAAGCGTAATTCAATTCAAATTCATTACAATGGAGTAGATCACTGAACTACGAAATTGTAAAGCATTTTCTGGGCTTTGAATTCGTTTCAATACCAATACCAGTACAGATTAGTTACATACTAGGCAGGTAATTCTGATACAAATAAACATTAATGAATTAATTTTGTATTTACCTCACTATGATATGATGTGACTATATTATGTATAAGTTTTACGTAATATTACATTAGTTTTGAATCTAGTTGCGTTAGTTACGGTGGCTCTAAATTATCTTTATTTACATAGAGAGGAGATAACCGCGATAATTACATTTGGTGATACCTACATATTTGCTCAGTCTCATATGGAGTTAACACTAAAGCGTTTGATACATTGCACACACATACATAATGTTGATACCGTGATACTGAAGCCGACGTGCGTATTTTTTATCTGCAATGAACTGGAGCATTGATTCAGTATGGAAGGGCATATTTTTTAATTAAGTAGAGTTCGAATGTGAGTTAGCAGTAACATATTCCTAAAACTTTGTTTTTATGGCTTGTACAGTCTACTCGCTGTTAATGCTGTTATCCATTAGGATATCGCAAATATTTTATTGCATTTAAGTATCATTTAAATAATGTCTAAACTACGCGAATACATGCAGCAACATCTAGGTAGTTCAATGGTGGATTGGTTGTTAAAGCGATTGGCAACCTCAACCATAAGGTTTCATTCGAAGTTCTCAGACTGTTCAACTTCGAGTACCTATTATAGCCGAGATTTGTGTAGCAATGATAAAGAAGAACTAAATAACCGTTGAAAAGTGGGTGCATTGCATACTACAGTAAACAAGATATGAGGAGACTTAGGATTTCTGCCTACGCCTGTAAGGAATAACAGGTGTGATGTCATATACATATTTATGTAATTGTCTACAAAAGTCGGGAACAATATTAGGTACTGTTGCTGTGTTACAACGTTCCTAAGTACGTTAGGTACTTGTCCCACCTGCAGTTGTTTACTATTCCAAGTGCATTCATTATCAGCTCACTCACAATCTGGATTTTGTACATATACAGGTACTATGTAGTAGCTAGCAGTAGGTACATAATATTTTAGTTCCATAGTTCCAATATGGCTACTATAGTAGCCAAATGATATGATATGAATCAGGACTCACTGTTTTTTCTTTGATAAATTAGAGTATCTACAGTAAAATAATTGAGCATTGATCCGTCCAATAATTTGTCATGATTCAGTAAGAAACATCAATATTTTTAGTCGTTCAGAAATACCTAGAGTCTAAATTAGTGTAGATTTGATTGAGTGATTTGTGGCACCCACACGATAAGTCACATGCAAGCACAAATCCCGCTTGTTGCAGTAGTTTCTTTTGGAGTCTATAACGTCACACCTTTTAATCCCCGAAGGGATGTATAGAAAAACATGTACTTATATAGTTATGATGACTTAACAACCGCTTTTGACTAATTCTCAGTTTCCGTAGTAAAAGTTGCGGTTGAATCTACACTGTACACCGGGCACAATTCCAAACTCCGTGCTTAAATTTACTTATTCAATACTCTTCATGTTGAATGAATTTTCCTAAATTTTATTTTAATGTTCGTCTGGTAGATTAATTTGAAACATTAGGCACGTATTTGTTCTCTATTCACAAAATTAAATACTTTCGATTCCGTGAGAGTGAGACGTCACAATGTGTTACATTTTGTGACATAACGACCTCCCACTCCTAAACTTAACTTTATTTTATATACGAGCCGATTTTTCAAACATTGCTTAATTTTTAAATAAGTACAGAATAAAATTGACAGTTGATAGTTTAGTATGGAAGAATGATCAAATATTGAAAGTTATTCCTATACATTAAAAATTGGCCCTTAGTATGAATGTAATGTAACTTTATACGAGAAAATAAAATATACGTGTCTAATATATTTCTCTTATATTATGGCAACTAAGTACCCTATTCTTAATAGGTTTTATTATGTTTTGCATTTTGCATAACTTACCAATGTGTTACACGTTAGTCACCACGGGGCGGCGCATTGTGTCCTTTCCTCCAAACCATGTATTTCCGCTAACAAAATGGGTCAGATAAGAGTTTACCATGAATCTGAATGTCATGCCGATGCCGTGACGAGACCTTGTTCACATTCGCACTCCATTTGTGAAGTTGCGACACCGGTCCATTACCCGGGAAAATAACCTTGGAAACTGTATTAATTATGAACTTGTACTTATTCTATGAAAGAGGTAGATAATCTGGTTTGTTTTATCGCTTATAGGTAAACGTTTCGGTCACGTGTTACCTACAAAATAGTAAAATAGAAATATCCAATTCATATTAGCGTTTGACCGTCATATCACTCATGAATTCATGATGTACTTGTCATTTAATACTCGGCCTGACCTTGAGAATTTGATTTGAGACTCAGCAGACGTCAGCAGTTACTTTTACGACCATTTAACCATCGATATACACTACTTAAATTTAATCTAAATAGACCATTTGCTTGAACCTAACTGTACCTAAATACTGTAGGCGGCTAAGAATTGATCATGCATATTCATGGGGAAAATGTTACAACGAATTTAGCACAGATTTAGTCATCTACATTCATACTTAGTCAAAATAAAATGTTTAAAACACGACATCACTAATTCTTGATAACATTAAGCTTAGTAGGGTAAACCTTAAGTATCTAGAAGATAATTGCTTTTTATCGGAAGAAAGCAATATTTACACGGTGACGCTACAGTACGAGGCTACCCGTTTGACACAAATCGAACAGCATTGATACTCTCTCATATTATTAAACCTTTTTAAACTGCCCAACCAGCTTGCGAAGCATTGATTTTTTTTATGGGATGTGGCGGTAACCGAGGAGACGGTTCACCTGATCGCCCATGGACACCCGGAATACCAGAGGCGTTACAAATGCGTTACCAGCCTTGTGTCCTTTTGGATATCAGGAATTTCAGGATTGTCGCGGATTCAGGGATTCGGGATTAGGAGTTTGAGGATCGTTGGGGGTTCAGGGGTTGGGGAGATTGGGAAGGGGGGGGGTATTGGGCCTCCAGTAACCTCACTCACACAACGCAAGCGTTGCTTCACGTCAGTTTCCTGTGAGGCCGTGGTATCACTCCTCGAGCCGGGCCATTCGTGCCGAAGTATGGCTCTCCCACACTTCAAATTACGACTAACCTTCTTGTGTAGAGGTCTATAGTGTATTTTGCCAGAAGTAATTTTCTACGCGGACGAAGTCGCGGGCAACAGCTAGTATACATATATAATTTATTTCCTTGTGTTGCAAAACTTGTGACATTATTATATGAAACAGTTTTAACGTTTGCATAACATAAATTGTGTGGAGTCGATTCGAGTGTGTGTATGTGTGTGTGACTGATCAAAGTGGTCATAATAATTATTATGCTGATGCATTCTGTATGAATATTTTTAAATACTCAGCGTCCAGCGAGACTTGGCAAAATGTAAAATGATCGTGATAGGTACGTGGTTTAATGGAGGTCTGTGTTAAATAAAACAAGTGTTCTAGATTCCTGATTTTTTTTATTTAGATAAGGTAAATAGAAGCAGTTCTTTCATTTTTCTGCTAAGAGGCTAAACCTCAAAAATTATCATGTTCGCGATATCTAAATATGTTGATGATATTTTATCTGCTCCCAATTTAATTAAGTTATGAAAAGAAAATCCAAGTAAGTAATAATCTGTTTTTGTTTTTGTTTACCAAGGTCTTGGTCCGTATTATTTACCTATTCATTACAAACTAAAAATCCGATGCTTGATCAATTTATCGATAATTGATAATATCCCTATCGATGACCTAATATCCGTGTAATAAGATTTCTAATCGTTAAAATTCATCAAGGACTTAGATAAATAGCGGGAACTGTATACGTCATAAGAACCAATACAATAGTTGGAATTTTCTTGAAGATATCCGACTCATTAATATGTAGAATTCATTATTAAAACTTAATAATACGTATATTGGCCAATTTATATAATCCACATAGATAACAATTTATCACTACTGACGCTATTGTCGTATGATTTGTATACATGTCATTTTTATTTGTAAATAGACTTTATATTTCCTAATCACACAACAACACAATAATATATCTATACTGCAGCGGTAAGTCCCCTCTTTGAGGAGTGGCTTGAGAGACGCTACGGCGTCCTCACTTACCGCCTGACGCAGGTCCTCATCGGACATGGAAGTTTCGGGAGGTACCTGTGTCTGATGGGGCGGGAGGAAACGCCCGGGTGTCATCACTGCGAGGACCGCCCTGAGGACACGGTGGAACACACAGTGGGAGAATGCCCTGCGTGGGCTGAGCACCGCCGTGCCCTCAGGGAAGGGATCGGCGATGGCGACCTCTCGCGTCCGGCTCTGGTTCAGACCATGGTACGGAGCGAGGGGGACTCGGATGCCGTCTCCTCCTTCTGCGAAGCAGTCATGCTAGCTAAGGAGGAGGCGGAGCGCGTGAGGGAACGAACCTCCCGACGGCCGGGTC